TCCTACTAAGCAATAATGAGTTTAAATTAGTATTCGTATCAGACAAGTTTTTATTTACTAAGAATAAATTTTTTGTAGAAAAGGGTTACATAAATAAGGGGATCTTTAAGATAAATGTAATGACTATTTATTCATGCTATGAATAAAATTACATTTCTTCTTACTTGCTTGAGTCATTTAATATTTGACATGAGCAATTAGAACATAAGAACCTTAATACTTTATGTAAATTAATCAAATTAGATTTATCATCAAAGTATGATTTAGATCCTAATCATAAATACGATAAATTTGTGGAATCCAAAATGGCTCGGCTGCCCTATCATTCTATTGAAAGAAGTACCGAACTCTAGACTTAATTCATAGGGATACATGTGATTTAAAGTTTGTTCAAACTAGAAGCGATAAAAAAGTATTTTATCACTTTTATGGATAATTGCACTTGATATTGCTATATGTATTTACTTAAAGGCAAAGACGAGGCAATTGAAGTGTTTAAATACCAAATCAACTGAGCAAAAATATAAAAGGTAATAATAAATTATACAGGCAGTGAATATGATTCCAACATGGAATTCTTCATCAAATCAGTGTGCCTTATTCTCCTCAATCTAATGATATTGTTGAGCGTAAGAATCAAACATTAAAAGAAATTATTAATTCTATGTCAATAAGTTCGAGATTATCGTAGAACTTGTAGGAAAAGCTTTGCTCTCTGTCAATTATATTTGCAAAATGCACAAGATACCTTATAAACTATGAAAATGTCACAAATCTAATTATAAATACCTAAAGGTATTAGGATGTTTGGCTAAGGTAAGATCTAAAATCATTGATTGTGTAGTCATTGGTTATGCCTATCATAACCATGCATACAGATTTATTACACATAAGTCTGAAATTCTCAATATGCATGATAATACGATTATCAAATCGAATGATGCTACATATTTCGAAAATGTTTTTTACAACGACCCCATTAGGGCCTAACTTTCTAACATATTTGTTAGAAAATGAATCTTAAAGCTACAAAGAGGCTATGTCATTTATCGAAGCTTCATATTAGAAAGAACCTATTTACAATGAAATTAAATCCATACTACAAAATTATTCATAGAACTCAGTAGACCTTCCACCCGATATTAAGCCATTAGTTTTGTAGATGAATTTTTTTTTTTTTTTAAATGAAGCCAGATAAATCAATTAACAAATACAAAGCTAGACTTACTAATAAAGGCTATGATCAAAAATAATATCTTGATTATTTTGATACCTATTCTCCTATAACAAGAATTACTTCCACACATATATTATAGCCATAGTAGCGTTGAATGGTTTGATATACATCAAATGGATGTTAAAATAGCATTCTTGAATAGTGAATTAGATGAAAAAATTTATATGAAACAACTAGAAATATCTGTTATCTTAGGACAAGAAAAGAAAGTATTTCGACTTGTTAAATCACTTTATGGATTAAAGCAATCTCCTAAAAAGAGAGATAAAAAATTGATATAGTTATAGTATCAAACGGTTTCAAGTTTAACGAACATGAAAAATGTGTGTATGTCAAGATACTCATAATGGATATATCATGGTATTTTTATACGTAGACGACAAGCTAATAATAGGTAGTAATGATACTATAATTCAAACTACTAAAATGATGTTAAGAACTCAGTTTGAAATGAAGGATTTTCATATCACCAATGTTACATTAGGAATTAAAATTTCTAAAGTATCTTATGGTCTCGCATTATCGTAATTACACTATATTGAGAAGATTATTGATAAATTCAAGAAATATGAAATTATTCTTATGAAAACACCAATGAATGCTAGTATGCGTCTTTTTCTAGCATTGATGATAATAAGTTTCAATTGAAATATTCTTATGTTATTGACAGTTTAATGTATGTCATGAATTGTACTCGACATAATATTGCTTACTTTATAAGTAAGCTAAGTCGATATATGAGTAATCCAAGCAATGAGCATTGAAAGACAGCTGTTAGAGTTTTAGGATATTTAAAACATATCAAAAACTTTAGATTGCACTATTCGAAATATCCTTACTATACTTAAACGATATTGTTATGCGAATTAGATATCAGATACTAAAGACTACAAGTCTACAAATGGTTTAACATTAATATAGTGAAATGAGTCAACTTTGAACTCCAAGTGGGATTGTACTCCAATTTTAAAGGGATCAAATATATTCACGTTCTACTCCACGAGATTATTAATGTAATGTATTTATATATTAAAAATCATTTAAAATTGAATGAGATATTTGATTTCAAAGTTACCATTTGATACTTTGAATAAGTAGAGAATTTAATTTAATTGAAAATTGTTGAACACTTATCCAACGTACAAAAATTTCAAAATTTTTGTATGGTTTATATAGTAAAAGTTTGGTAACTAGATTTGGGTCTCTATGGATATCACTAGTCTTTGAAGGGGGGGGAGACAAATAACCTATTGGGGTTCAGTCCTAAGCCAACACGCGCACAAGAATGACCCATCCCATCAGCACAACACGAGCATGCACATGGGTTCATGTTTGAGTTTAAATTTTTGGATAAAATTGTAATCAATCAAATTCTTGGTACTTAGTGAAATTATTTTTAACGATATTTTAAATTTCCTACCATTGCCTTGTTTCCGCTTTTCTCTAGTGTGACTGTCTGGGTACGTCTATTAACCAATGTAACAAATGTCTATTAATTGATCTTTAACGAATGCAGTGTTTTAGTCAGGACACAACTGTCAATTCATTTTTGGAAATTGTCTA